ATTCAGCGTAGCGTGGGTCTCACCACGGCCTCCATAGAGATGCGGTGTTTGCCAATTAATAGAGGACAATCTCAGTACCAGATAAACAAACATAGCTTGGTTGTGTGAGCCTTCCCACAGGACAAGCAAAGAACGAGCTTGTATATTTATAATAATTACCTTTAGGTTTGATAATCAGTCGATTACGTCCAGTAGCTATTGATGTGAGTTGATTATATAGAAGGGGCTCGGCCCAAGTGAGCATGGAGCGGTCAACGAGGATACCAGCCCCATCCGCAGTCGCGAGGAGTGTTACAGACGAGGAACATGACACATGTCATGAGACGATCGAGAAGACCAGCTCACAGATGGTGCTCATCTTCTTTGAAAATTGGGCCAGCAACTGGGATGGCATCGGTGAATAGTATGATTAGCTTGGGGAAAGCTTGTGTATACCGCTTTTTCGCGACTTCCGGAATCCAGGGTTCATACTCAAACTCAGAGATCCGTAGTGTACAATTGAGAACCGTGCGTCTCACTATGAGCATGCTTTGCAGCCGAGCAATGAACTCATCGGTGACATATTGCCACTGAGGCGAAGAAAGCCGGATGCCGATACATACATCATACACGTTGCAGATGCGGGTGGCTTTGAAGTCCTTCGGGTTTCATCTCGCAAAGCGACACCGGAGGAGCCACGCCAAATTGCCGAAGTGAAAAGGTGACACAAGCCTTGACCACATTGTAATCAACCACCCGAAGTATAGCATGCCAAGTGGTAGTCTCTATCTGCAGAGCAGAGTCTCCATCAACGCCGACGCCATCGTAGCCAAGATTTCAAGTACCATTGGTGGCGTCTCTGGACCTTTACGTGCTCAATTACTTTGAAGCCGTATATCTCGATTCGGAGATTAATAAAAAGAGAAGAAGGCTTGACTATTCAGTGGAGTTAGAAGTCAATAGTGGCGAGTTCGTATGTGGTATCCGTGGGAGGGCTTGTTCTTTCATGTCTGGACGGTTGTCCCTTAAGAGCTCCGCAGGCTTGGCGGGGTAGTACAGGATTTCTTGGATACAAACGCAGATCCAGCAGCGACTTCCGGGTATAGTTCGATATCTTTGGCCGAGCCCTCCCCGGTGGCTGGGTGCGGGAACTGTTCAAGGAGGTAGATAGCACGTAGGCTTATTTCATGTCCTCCCGCAATCTACTTCGATCGATACCAGCATGTCTCCCAGTGTGGGAATTAACCTCAATCTGCTTGAGACAGCCCATTACCAAAAGCAAGTAGTCGATTTGGTTCCACGAGAGGAATAACTCATACTCATCGTGGCCAGGCCGAGTCGACGGGTACACCTGAATTGGTGAAGGGAGCACCAGAAGGGATGCCCCATTGCTCACTACAGAGCCATACATATAAGCCGCTAGGTGCAAAAGGAGTATCCGGAACATAACAGCACCTCATTGAAGTGATGAAAAAGTGTACAGGGGAGCCGTGATCATGCGGTAACCTACACCTTGAGGTTAACCTCAGACGTAGTGAAGGTGGTCAGTACTGTATCTATCGCACAGTCTTCTTCGCTCATGCTAGTTAGAGTGACCTGTACACCGATGTTGTCTATATGATTTAATTTGTTAGTTCTTCGGTTTTGGTCTCTTTCTATGCGAAAGTGACCCAACACCCAGGGCTTTTATTGCTGCCTGGTTGACAATATAGCTTCATGCTGAGTAACAGTTTACCTTTTCAAAAAATGTCACCTAAGGTACGACTCCAACACACGTATGTGTCAGCAAAGTCTTTCCACATGAAAAGCTCTTGATCGGCTTATCATATTTATAGCTAGCATTCAATTTATCGGTCTTCAGAATGATGTTCTTCGTAGCGTCTGGTTCCCGGTGAAGTATTCGCGCTTGTTAGTTACTGTCCAGACTCAAGACAACTTGGCATACAGGCCTAGGCCCCAGCAATTAATTAAAGGGGCAAAAGAGGTGAGAGAAATGCAAATTTCCAAGGAGACATCATTTTCAACCAAACCGGGTATGCCATGCCGATGTCAACTTGGCATTGCTTTGTGGTGGGGCATCACGGCCGACTCTGTTATTCGTCTGAACTCGGGATACGATTCTCAAGATCAATAATGTTAGTGATGAACCCGAGGCGAACCTTGATCCTGGATTCAAGACGAGCCTTAAAGCATCAGCCCTTTTCGTATCCATTTGGCAGCGCATTGAATGGAGACGTGGTGCTCAGATTTTCCGGTGTCCCCGGCTCGATCCGAATATTCGGATGACGCGGCCTCGACTTGGCAAACACCAAGCAACATTGAATCCACTGAAGCATGGAGTTCGCGAGTCCGTTGGCTGAAAATCCTTGCAAGAGCTCAAACCTCCAGCCAGCCTTGGGCCGTGGGCCAAGGAGGATGGGAAAGTTTGCGCCGTGAGGGTGGTGCCCTGGCAGAGTTCTGGAGCCACGAAAAGGGGGCAAACCAAGCTTTCGTGCCAATGCTAGCCACTCTCATTACGAAGGGAGACATCGCCGACGCGGAAGAATGCCTTGGACATCTTCTCTACGGTCAGTCAGGGCTTTCAATCAAGTCTACCTTCGAGAATTGGTCATCAGAGCCATCAGTCCCTTTCGGCGGCCTCGCCGTGCTAGCGCGCCGACTCCGTGGCTTTCCCCACTTGTCAAGCGCCGAGCCCGAATATCCGGATGTATCACACTCATACCAGGCGAGGATACACGAGGTCAATCAAGCTCAACCACGAGCATTAGGAATGCAATCAGTGACCCTGTTTCAGATTCATGCTTCCCCACCCTTCGAAGGTCGGAGATTGTTGTCCATAAGGTTATCTGGTGGAGCCATCTTCAGCCAGTGGCTATATGGTGTACCGTTGTGTCGTTGTGACTGAGGTGGACATTCAAAGACGCTATATGTTGCAGGTCAAGATTTAGGCCAAAAAATACCGATATTTATCACTGATGCGTGTACTTACTTAGGAGCAAACAAACTTTGACTTGATGACCATGTCAATCACTGCCTGATCATTGAAGTCCAGATGCCAAGCTGGAGGTAGCTGGTATGGGCCAAAAAGAGCTGCCTTGCGTCCAGATACGGATATGCCGAGAACATGGTAAAGGCCCATCATAACCTACCCGCACTCTCATTTAACGGCAATCCACCGTGGGGGTGGCGTGACAGGGACCCTTTGATGAGGAGACATAATCGTTTGGAGAGCATGCGACCGCTTAGTATAAGATCTAGCACTACGCTGGCTTCTTACAGTTGATTCTTGCTCTCCATCTCACATTGTCTCTCTTTGACTACCACATTCTTTACATCACATTCTTTTACTTCACTCTTGTGTGGCCCTTGGACTGGATCCTTCCCATACTTAGCAAAACCTTTATCACCTCATTACCTGATATAACACACCAAGTCCAAACCATCACGATGAAGTTCTCCAACGTTCTCAACCTCGCCCTTCTGGGATTCGCCACGGCCACGCCCACCCCCACCATCCAGGAGGACGGCAGTCCTGCGCTCATTGCCAAGCGCGCCTCCGTTACCGAGAGCTGCAACATCGGTTACGCCAGCACCAACGGCGGCACCACCGGCGGCAAGGGTGGTGCCACGACAACCGTGTCGACCCTTGCGCAGTTCACCAAGGCTGCCGAATCGAGCGGCAAGCTCAACATTGTTGTCAAGGGCAAGATTTCCGGCGGCGCCAAGGTGCGTGTGCAGTCGGACAAGACCATCATCGGCCAGAAGGGCTCTGAACTCGTCGGTGCCGGCCTCTACATCAACAAGGTCAAGAACGTCATCGTTCGCAACATGAAGATCAGCAAGGTCAAGGACTCCAACGGCGACGCCATTGGTATCCAGGCCTCTAAGAACGTCTGGGTTGACCACTGCGACCTATCCTCCGACCTCAAGTCGGGCAAGGACTACTATGACGGTCTCCTCGATATCACCCACGGCTCCGACTGGGTGACTGTCTCCAACACCTTCCTCCACGACCACTTCAAGGCTTCGCTTGTCGGCCACACCGACTCGAACGCCAAGGAGGACAAGGGCAAGCTTCACGTCACCTACGCCAACAACTACTGGTACAACGTCAACTCGCGCAACCCCTCCGTCCGTTTCGGTACTGTCCATATCTACAACAACTACTACCTCGAGGTCGGCAGCTCCGCCGTCAACACCCGCATGGGCGCCCAGGTCCGTGTCGAGTCTACCGTCTTTGACAAGTCGACCAAGAACGGCATCATCTCGGTCGACTCCAAGGAGAAGGGCTACGCCACCGTCGGCGACATCTCTTGGGGTTCCTCCACCAACACTGCGCCCAAGGGCACCCTTGGCAGCAGCAACATCCCCTACAGCTACAACCTCTACGGCAAGAACAATGTCAAGGCTCGTGTCTACGGCACCGCCGGTCAGACCCTTGGCTTCTAAGCGTACGTTTGATGCGCCTCTCCTCTTCTTTGAATGCAGGGCTTGAGGCCCGACTTTTTTTGTGATGGGACTTGGACCTTGAACATTCGTTTTGATACTTGTATATATTCGGTAATTATTCTTCTATGAGCACGGCTGCTTTTCGCCGAATGCTTTCTTCAAAGGTTTCTGTTCTCCGCTGCCTGGTGTGCATTGATGTTTGACTGGGAATGTTTGCGCTCTTCAGCTTCGGCGAAGAATAGGTAGAATATGAGACTCACAATGTGGATTAACTAATCAACCTTCCGGGGGTGAACGTCCGGTGGCGGTCTATTTCGTGATCATCCCTGCTGCGTCCATTTCGGCACAACTTCATCTGGCTTCGACTTCTGGCTCTGCCCCGCCGCCGGGGACTAACAGGCCAGGGCTGCCAGGCAGACTTCCTCATGATGACTTCGCGCCGTACCTCTTTTTGACAGCCAGCTGACAGAAGACGTACGAGAGGTGGTTGCTGCCCACAATTTGGTATTTTGATTCCCTTGTTCAAGAATGACGATAACGAGGCAGGATCCAGACCTGCCCATTTCGACTCGACACAGCCTGAGGCACACTGGAGAAAACAACACCTTCAAGAGTGTGATCCACTTCTTCCACTTCTTCCCAATGAACCCACGGTTGGGCAAGGTCAGTACCCATCGCCGCCAACATGCCCGATTTCTTCGATAAGGATGCCTTCATCCACGCTCTCAAGAGTTACTACACCACGCTATCCTCCTCCGGTCTCTTCGCCCCGGAGACGATCCGAAACCCGCCGGCTGGAGGCTGGCCTCTCGGCGCCCTCTCCATCCCGCCCACTCGCTCCAAAGCGGCCATTTCTCTACTCCGCCACATCCCCTACCTGGAGCCCTATGCCGCTCCGAATGGGCAGAAATCGCAATGGCCCATTATGGTCAAGGCCCTTGCGGTCAATTACTTAGAGCCCTTGCGAGAGGATCACCCTGACCTACCACCAGACGTGATCGTCCTTGCCCGTGCCTTCTGCGTCGACCCTGGCAGGGGTGGTGAAATTGTAGACTGCACACTGAATTGCGCGACAGGAGAGGTGACTCGCTCGAATGAGATAGTCTCCGCGACAGAATTCTTCGAGAGGCGGATTGATGAACTGAAAGATCAGACCGTCATGCCGCTGCCGCCGGTAGACGACATGGCGCCCGCCCTGTTCTCCGACGAGTGGGGACGGGAAGACATCGTGAAGCGAGCGTTGCGGGGTGTGCAGATCAGGTGCGGGTGGACGGGGACACACAATGTTCTTGTGTGGAACCGAGCCAAGTTCCTGCGAGAGATGGCTTGGTTCCGGAGAATGAGGCGGAGAATTGAGGAGTGCAGGGCGGCGAGAGAGAAGATGTTTGATGACGAGGCAGATGAGGACTGGCCGCCGGAGGACACGTCTCGAGCTTCGTCTGAAAGCGAGTGGACGTCCAGCGACCGTGAATTGGAAGAAGAGGGCGGGGCTGGTGACATGGCAAACGAGCTCGCCGGGCTGTGGTCCGATCTTGACAAGGCCGAGTTTGACCATGTCAGTGAGCAACTCGCCAAGGACAACATCTCCCACGCTTTCCAGGTGCCGCGCGAAGGCCAGGCCCCAGTCCGTCTAACTGTACCCGCCCCCCCGACACAGGATGAAGCGACGGCTACTCGTGACGCCCTCATCAACGGCCTGACGCGCTACTACACCCTCCTCACGCGTGCAGCCTACCTTCCCACCGAAGCTGTCGAGTACCCTCCCCTCGAAGGCTGGCAGCCGCCTCTCTTCCAAGAAGATAAACTCCGCGCGCTGAAGTACGATGATTGGACCATTGAGGTGCTCCGTCATTTGCCATACATTCGTGAGGCGGGCGAGATGGATGATCAACAGTGGCAGGTTTTCATACAAGGCTACCCAATTCGATACCTCCATGACGGTCACCTCCTCCAGCAAAGCCCGTCGAAACTCGCAAAGAAAAACCTGCAAGACCTCGGCTTTTCGCCGTACAAAGCGGGCCTGCCAGGGACACTATTGGCCGTCGTCAAGGCGAGAACCGAATCAGACTCGCACTGGTGGCTCGTGGATTTAGAGAAAGGTACATATGTCATCAATTGAGAGGCCTACGCTGGCACTGACGATATCGCTAGGCGAGATCATGGTCGACGACGCCACGATGCAGGTTGATAGAGGCTCGACAAAGAAGACCCCTTGGCTGCGCAACAAGGCGGAGCCGATTTCTTCGTTCTTTGACAAGCTGATCCATCGACTCGTTACGCTAGATCTAGTGCCTATGCCGGATCTGGGGAGACTCGAGGGCATGTATGACGAAGACGTCTACGGGCCTGAGATTTGGGGGGGCATCGCAGCGAAGGAAGAGGAGAATGTGCGGGGGGCGCTGGATCTGGAGATTGAGGTGAGAAGAAGTCTGGCCACGGCCACAGACAATGCTAACAAGTGCAGCTGGCGCGGAAGATCTACCTCGAGCACGGATGGCCTACGCACGACTTCAGGAGGCAAGAGTGCATTGATGCGCTCGTGCAGATGAGGCAGGAGATGTGGCAACACGTGCGGGATGAGAGGCAGAAGCTGTACGAAGCCGAGTATGCTGACAAAATGTTGGAAGACGAAGTCGAAGAAAAATATCACGACGATGTGGATGAGGCAACAGAATGATCTGACTTGATAAGAGGGGTATGGTATCATTAGGCCTGTGGCCACCATCGCAAACGATGGATTCATCTATAGTTCTACTAAAAACACAACGCTAATCCCACTCATGCCATGCGGCTTATGCAATTTCATACCCTCGAGTCAATGCTCACGGCATCGCTCGCAAGACTGCCCTTCCGTCCGGTTCCCGTTCCTGACCTCGACTCGAGCCCGTGGTGGTCCATCTCGACGACGACGCTCGTAACTGTCTCCATCTGAATCGCCAGACCAGCGCCGCCTCCGCCGCTACCACCGCCACTGCCCTGCTGTCCAGGGCCTTGAAGACTGTCCTCACTAGAGCCCGCCTCACCGCGCAGCCTCGTCAGCTTGCCGAGTGAGCCGAGCTTCTTGCGCCCACCGCGGGAGTGGCCCCTGTAGTCGTCGTTTACCATGTTTTCGGCGCCGCCAGCGACAAAGACGACGTTGCCAAATCGGCGATTCGGCGGTGTGCGCATAAAGGCGAAGGTTTCGAGACCCGTATCCTGTGAAGGCGGCAGGTCGGAGAAGACGATGGAGCGACGTGTTGTGGCATACAGTAGCACATCGAGCCACCCGTTACAGGCGATCATTGAACCAGAGAAGCAGAAGTATGCGAGGGACGGGGTGGCACCGGCCATGGAGGCAACACGACCAGCGGCTAGAGGTGTCGTACAGATGACGTAGATAAAGGGGTACAAGAGGAAGGTCCTTTGCGAGGCGTGGTCGATTAGAGAGCGGCGGTGCAAGGGGGCCGCAAGGTTCTGCTTGCTGTGCCCTTGGTGTCCCTCACGCGAGGCCGCAAGCGTGGCCTTGCGGATGTGGAAGAAGATGAGGATGTAGAGGACTGAGGTGATGCCGAGCGACAGGAAGATCCAGAGGTAGTGCAGGAAGAGACGGATGTCCTGGTAAGCTGAGTTGATCCAGCACTAGGTGATGCATGTCAGCGCAATGTTCAGCTCAACTCTCTGATAAATCGTGCTTACCCATGCACCAGCACGAACGTAGAGGCCGCCCACGGACGCGCCGTTGTTCGTGATGATGACGCCAATGATGGCCGTCAGATAGGTGAAGGCCCAACCGCCCATGATTGTGGTGTAGAAAGCCCACGTGGCCATCCGGTGGCCTCGTACAACCCCCAAATATGTGTGCATGGCGATGAGGAAGATGAAGACGGAGGATGCCAAATCACCCGTCGAAACGAACCAGCCTTGCGCCCAGCACATTGAAGTCCCCGCACGAATGGCATCCTTTCGCAGCCACGCAGCGTTGAGCAAGAAGGCGAGGGCCTGCTGGATATCGGCGAAGAGCAGGTTCAAGATCAAAACGAGGAACTGGTTAGGGGGGTCCCTGCGAAGTCGTCCCCATACGGTCGTCACCTCCTCTTGCGGTGCTGGCACCTCCATCTGAGGACAGAGATGCTCATCGGGAAGTTCATGATCCACCACCGGCGTGGCCTTGGGGTTGGTCCCGGAGGCCAGGTCGATCGGTCGAAGTTGCCATCGTACCAGTTTGAACAGCAGAAAGAACAGAAGGGCGACGCTGCTGATGAAAGAAAGGAAACCGAAGAAAGATACGGCAACGAGCCCGCGGTGAAGGACAGCGGGGAGCGGAGCGAGACTGAGGATCGAGTCGTCACCGCGGACAACGAGGTGTGGTTCGCTCATGACAGTGCGGTCGTTTCGTCGTTGTTATCGTCGTCGGTTGTCCAGAGTTTCTCTTAGGGATGCATCTGAGGTCGTGGTCACGAACCCTCCACTGCCAGCAAATCTCGAACAGTTAGATAGTCCGCTGGATGGATGCACTGCAGTTGGCAGAAAGCCAAGACCAATGTGGAAGAAGTGTGGTATATCAATGGAGTCAACGCATAAGGCTTTTCCTTTGCCCCCTCCTCAGCGACGCCTCAGCACTGTCCGCAATATTCTCCGAGGCTAAGGCCAAGCCTCTACGGAATACCAACATTGGCGGTAGCGAGTGAGAAACGACGGAGTCATGTACTAGGCGTTATTAGCGGCGAAACCGTGAGCTGCCCGGGGTGGTCCAGGAACGACTTCAGTCGACGTGCAGCACCTCTGGCATTAGCGCCTCCCAACGTGGTCGCATCAAGCGATCCTGCGAAGTTGAACAAGGTGGGGGACCACGTTGGATCCCTGCTGCTCGTGGTTCTGGAGCTTCAGAGGGACATTCCTCATATGCAGACCGCGGCTGTCGTTGGCTGCTGATGAGGTGGGAGGGGCTCTCACGAGTCGGGAGGGTGATCCCCCGACGGGCCTCTTCCTTGGAGGGCACAAAAGGGGGCAAACCCTGAGGGCGCGAACAGGCAGCAAGGTGCTTCGGGTCCGAGTCAGAAGGTAAGCCTCGCTAGATTGCACCGCATCCTTCTGGGACTCTGGTGGTTGAGGGCTGAAAAGCGATCTGATCAGCACTACTCCCAGTCGTGGGAGCTGGGGCTGATTCCCATTACATCTATGCCAGTACAGCGATTGCCAATCATAGGGTTAATCACCTGCATAGGTTCGATGATCTGGTCTGGGCAGAAAGTGACAGGTGGAATAGTCGAAAGCCCGGTGGAAGAAAGGCGGCTTCTGTGGGCGTTCTGACGGCGGCAATCGGGCGCCGTCAGAGGCTACGGCAAGCCCAGGTATCTCGTCTGTTCAGCTGGCATGCGCTAGAGCTGGCGTGTTTGAAGTTGGGAGCGTACCAAATGCCAATCACGGGCAGAAGGCCGACGAACGCACAGGGGTGGAGGTAAGCCAGGCCAGTTTGTTCCGGGCAGATTTTCAGACCCTTTCGTACTCAAACCAACCCAGCCACCCACCCTCAGTCTGGGCCCTTAGCCGGCCGGCCGTAACGGGAGGGGGAAAAGTCTTCGTGGATCGTGTTTGTGCGTTCGACGGGTTCGACGAGGCGTTCGCTGGCGCTCATTGGCGTCGGCGCCATGCACGTGGATGGGAAATGAGCACCCAGCGACCGATTCAAAGCGGCCATTGGCGCCGGGTGTTACTTTTTCTTTTGGAATGGCTTGTTCGGACAATGGTCATGGTGGCTTGCGCTGTTGATGCTTCTCGAGTCGCGAACTGCCCTCGATCGCCACCCACGCCAGATGCGCGTGCAGTTTCGATTTGTATGACATCTTCCATTGCTGGAAATGATGCAGAGCCGAAATGAGGCGGCACCCCTGGTGGATGATTGAGTTCGACCGAGTCATGCCGCTGCTGATGTGGTCCGTGATTCCTGCGAAGCACTTATCTCAAGGGGCGGACAATCTCGTGACATCCGAGGCTCATGAGTAGCGATCCGGATAACTACAGTGCAATATCCGGTCGACCGGCTGAGCTGAGTGTGCAGCATCGTGAGTATCTCGGTGTTACCTGCTGATATGCCATGCTCTACGTGAGACCATGGTGGTAATTGATTTTCGGTGCCCTGAGTCGAGCTGGCCAGCTTCCGACGAGAAGAGTTTGAGCATGACGAAGCCGTAAGGCTTCGCTTGTTTGGTTTTTTCACGATGCCTTCATGTGCCAACGAGGAACGACAGCATCATGGGAGACTTGGGTTGGCAGCGGTCCAGCGAAACCTCACCGGGGCGAAGAGGAAATCCTATCATAGGTGGCGGCGGACGTCGCTTCAAGGACAGGTAGATTGACTTTTGAGCCTTTTTCCCATGCCAAAAGACCACGACACAGTAGTGCCGAATCGGGCAACTGATGAAGCCGACGAAACTGGCTGGTGATGCTCTTTCTGAGGTTGTAGTGACTTGAAAGGGACAGCTACGACTGCCTAAAAATCTGTCTGCCTCGTCTATCGATGGATTACCTAAGTCATCGGTCCAGCCCCTGAGTTTGCGGTAAGTGGCAGCCACAGAGCTTTGGCACCCGCACCGCCACTTAACTTGGGCAGCCACTGGCGAGTTTAAGCTTGAATCACTGGCGGCTTCTATGCTCCGCCCACCTCCACCTTCCCGCCCCTCCCAAAGCTGTCCCTCAGTGATACTACCAGAACGAAGACAGCACCCATTGTCACCAGTGATGATCATCAGAAGCTCCTAGACCATCCATTCGCCATCATTTTCTGTCAGCTGTCGAATTGCTGGCCACCAGCCCGTCATCGCTCAGCAACTACAGCGCAGTGGCCGTTGTGCGGCCAGTCCCTCTGCACTCCCCCGCACTGGAGCTGGCTTCGGCGACGTCCGACGGGGTTATCGTTACCACAACCTTGCGACCTTCCCGATCAGTTCTGGGCCGGCGGACCCTTCACCACCAGGACGGAGCGTCTCCAGCGCAGCTCAGCAGCACATTGGGTGCCTCCCTGCCGACTTCGCTTGCCACCTCGGTACAAGGCGGCCAGTGACGCCCTGCGCCTTGCCCACAACAAGAAGGACCCAAGCCTCGCCTGGCGGTTTTTGTGAATGGCGGCGTTCTCAAATCTCAAGGGATCCTGACTATCGAACTAACGGCCGCCGGCTATCGCCTGGTTCCTGGACGTGGCGAGGGACTGTCCGACAGCAGAACACGAGTACGCAGTCTGCAGCGACCGACATGACCATTGATAGTCTGGCTTTCAACGAGCTTCCCCAGCAGTGACGAGGACCCAGAAAGGAACTGAAGAAGAGAGCTGCCAAAGGTTGCCCGACAATGGCATTCATTGACAGGAACAACAGAGGGGAATAGAAGATTGGGACCCAACCTCCTACCGCGCTCCAAGCTCCGCAAACTCAAAAGGCATGGCCGCAATCGCCGTTGAGATTGGTCAATGCCTCTCTCGCGCTCTGCCGGGGGCCTGCTTCCCCGCCAAAAAGCCCCAACGGCGCCCGCCCAAGGACGGCAATTGACCCGCTGATAAGCCTCAAGTGAGCCTATGGCGTCTGCACGTGGGGGAGGGGCTCAAGACATCCCGAGCATCCTCTACGACACTCTGGGACCTGGATACCTTGGCCAGGCACCTCGTCGGCGCCCTCCAGCCACTCATCATCCAGAGATTAGAGCTTCCATGTTCGTGGTCCCTGGAGAACCGGCGTCCCAGCAGTTCCAACGCCCCGCTCGCGGCTGCAGCCAAGCACATGTTGCCGTCACTTCCCATGTGGGCAACCGAGTCTTACAAGTCGTACTGATGGTATTTAGTCCAAGTCGGCCCTCCCTTCGACTGCAGATCATGCCGACGCGTTCTGCAGCTCAATCTGTCACCTCGTTGAGTCCTGTCTGCACTCGTTCCCGTGGCATCGACAAGCCCTAGTCACCCCCAGCAACTACCACCAAGATGAGACAGAACATCCTGCCGGCCCTGGCGTTCGCCGCCGGTGCCGTCGTCGCCTCGCACGAGAAGATCGACATCGACCAGCTTTACAGCTCCCGCGTGATGAAGCGTGGTGTTGACGCGGCCGGCAACTTCAACATGTGTATGTGATGCCTCTTCTCAATTTGGGCCATACGTCTCATTAACAACAACGACAGCCTTCTTCCACATCAACGACGTTCACGCGCACCTCGACGAGTTCTCTTCCTCGGGCACTGACTGCACGCGCCCCGAGCGCGGTTGCTTCGGCGGTTACGCCCGTGTCAAGCATGCCATTGATGAGCTCCGTCCCCAGTACGAGAACTCGCTGTTCCTGGATGCCGGCGACGAGTTTCAGGGCACCCTCTTCTACACCTTTTACAAGGGAGAGAAGATTGCCGAGACGGTCAACCAGCTCGGATTTGATGCCATGACCCTCGGCAACCACGAATTTGACGGTGGTGATGATGAGCTCGGCGAGTTCCTGCTGAACCTGACCTTCCCCGTCCTCTCGGCCAACATTGTCAGCACTCACCCCGCTCTTAACAAGACCATTTTGCCGTACAAGATCTACGAGAAGCACGGCGTGGCCGTCATTGGCTGCACAACCCAGACCACGGCCAACATTGCCAACCCTGGACCTGGCACTGAGTTCCTCGACGTCGTCAGCAGCGTTCAGCGTGCCATCGACGAGATCCACGCCACCACCGACATTAAGCGTATTGTGGCTCTCACCCACATCGGCTACACTGACGATCAGGCGCTTGCTGCTGCCACCACTGGTCTGTCCCTCATCATGGGTGGTCATTCACACACGCCCCTGGGTACCGCTACTCCTGCTGGTACGGCTCCGCAGGGTGATTACCCCACCATTGTCAAGAACGCCAACGGTGATGATGTCTTCGTCGTTCAGGCCTGGCGCTGGGGCCAGTACCTCGGCTATATTGACGTCACCTTTGACGAGGAGGGCCATGCTCTCGCCTACCACGGCGGTCCCATCCACCTCACCAACAAGACTGCGGAGGATGCGGCCCTCAAGGCCCAGATCAAGTCGTGGCGCGGTCCTTTCGAGGAGTTCGCTGCCGAGGTCATTGGCTTCACCAACGTGGAACTCGTCCAGAGCACTTGCCAGACACAAGAGTGCACTCTAGGAAACGTCATGGCTGACGCCATGTACGAGTACCGCGCTTCTGAGGGTGCCGACTTTGCGCTGGTCAACGCCGGCGGCATTCGCGCCGGTATTGAGGCTGGTGACATTACTCGTGGCAACGTCCTGATCTCCTTCCCCTTCGGCAACGCCATCACTGAGCTCAAGTTCTCTGGTGCTGACGTCCGCCGCATCCTCGAGGGCTGCGTCAGCCGCGTCAACCAGTTCAACGGCCGCCCCGTCACGTCGGGCTTCCAGGTCTCTGGCAGCATCAAGATCCAGTACAACCCTGCTCTCGCTGTTGGCTCGCGCCTCGTCAGTGTCTTGATCAACGGCGAGGAGATTGAGGACGATGCCGAGTACACCATTGTCACGCTCGACTTCCTCGCCGGCGGCGGTGACAATGTTTTCGAGTTGACCACCAACTTCATCCCGCTTGACCTGCAGGACGAGGTTCTCACCCGCTACGTCCGCGACAACAACCCCATCAACGCGCAGATTGAGGGCCGCATCGAAGTTGTCGACACGGTGCCCACTGTGCCTACCACCACGGCCGTGCCCACGTCAACGAGGCCGCCCTGCATTCCCCGTCCCAAGACGACGACTCCTCCTTGAGGAGAGGGTTGTTGGAGTGGTGTAATATGATGTAGCTCCCCATAATTCACATAATCAACTTGATATGCTATATGAAGGCATTTAATGAAGTGATGAGTGTTTCTGTAAACTTTCGGTGCAATATTGCCGCTTTTCTTCTACTAGTATCGAACGCCAATCGTCGTACCGTTGCGTACGGGCCATTGTGTTGCGGGCTGGTGCAGAGCGAAGTAAGCTTTTGCCCTCATTTGAGTTCAGTATCGACTTGAGGCCACGACAGCACTGGCAGCGAGGCGACCCAAAGTATGGCGCCATAAACCAACCGCGACAAGAAATAGCAGCGACATTGTTGTCTCATCCTCATCTCTCTAGCTGCAGCCCTGATCTGTGACCCAGCAATCCACTCCAGCACAGCCCCAAAAGAAAATAAACAATTCACCCTTCCTTCTGCCACTCCCGACATTCCGTTCACTCGCTCGTCATTTTGCCCCAGAAGGGCGCGCCACGGCCCTCTCTTTTCCCTCGTGACTCCAGCCTAGCACGGCCCCGTGTTGCAGTCGCCAATGGTGATGACCTGGTCCACTTCCACGCTCTCGACCTCGGGAAACGCGGCCAGCGAGTCGCGCGTGTGCTCCTCCGTCTCGACGGCGAGACCGTTGAAGAAGTCAAAGCGGGTGGTGACCTCGGCGGGCGCGACGGCCGTGATCTTGGCGACGTAGTCGTCGATGGACGCGCCCTAGCCCTTCCGTCAGTGCCCGCGTTCCGCACGAGGATTCGGAGACGGGGTGGCGTGTTGTGCCGCTTACCTTCTTCAGGAAGATGATGTACTTCTCGGCCGAGACGAGGGCTGACGCCACAGCGGCCGCCACGGAGAAAAGGGCTGTGAATCTCATTTTTGGGGACAACAAAAGTGGTGAGTACGGCGCGATGTTGGATGGGTGGCTGCTGTGGCCTTTTTAGCTGACGACGGCTGTTTGGTTGGACAGTAGGGTACCTTGTACTCTCCCCCCTCCCCCCTCCGCTGCAGCCTTTGATGTGGTGTCTCACGCCAAAGACTAATTCATTCCAGTGGTGAGATTCAGGGTCTGTGTTCCCTGCTCGGCACGCACGAAGGTTCGACTGGGTCTCTTCGCTCCGTGACAGGGGAGAACAGCGTTGCGAGATCTGCCGAGACGGCAGTGGGAGACGGGCCGGGGTGGGGGGGGGGGGGGAGACGGGGGTGGAGACAGGGTGCAATGGCTTGTGGGAGGGTGCCGTCGGCCTCGTTCACTGTGCAGGTCAAACGTGAACATGTGACGAGTGATGGAGGGGGCTGGTCAAGCTGTGATCTGAATCACCTAGAGATGCCGTCGTGGACCAGGTGGTCGGAACGGCATGCAAAGTCTCGGGCGCGCAACACACGTACTCAAAGTCCAGAACACGACATTTCTCCCCATCGTCACAGAATCCTATCATTTCCCAATACATGCATGCTACCCGGCCCTCAGTCAAAGCGGACCTCTCTGCCCGTCCTGGCGCTCTCGCGAATCGCCTCGAGGATCCTCAGCACATCCCTCGCCTGCGTCGCCGGCACAGGCACGTCCTCCTCCCTGCCGCTCGCCAGGGCCGTGGCAAAGCCCTCAAAGAGCCGGACGTACGTCTCGGGCTTGTCGGTCAGCAGCGTCCTGCCCTCGACGCTGCCGTCTTCGCGGACAACAACGAGGCGGCCGGCAGCGGCCTCGGGCTCGACGCCGAACCCGGGATCCGTGGGCTTGGCGCCGTCCTTGAGCTGGGGCTCCTGGACGTCGAGCCCCGGCTTGCGGTACGAGCCCTGGCTGCCGCGCAGCCAGAAGCGCGGCTGCGCCTCCTCGACGGACAGCACGCCGGCGCGCACCGTGACGACGAGGCCCGACGCGTACGACAGCACGGCGTGCAGGCTGTCCGGGTCCTCGGCGTCGAGGCGGCCGGCGCGCTGGTCGAGGAGGCGGCCGTAGACGGCGGCGGGCGTGCCGAAGAGGGCGTAGGCCTGGTCAACGAGGTGGCTGCCGAGGTCGAAGAGGACGCCGCCGCCGCGGTCCATCGAAAGGCTGCCCTTCCAGGTCGTCGGCTTGTCGGGACGATAGCGGTCAAAGTGCGTGTCGAGCTCGAGCGCGCGGCCGAGGGTGCCGTCGCGGAGGAGGCGGCGCAGCGTCAGAAAGTCGGAATCCCACCGCCGGTTCTGGTAGACGCAGATGAGGCGGTTGTGCTCGCGCGCGAGGGCGATGAGGGCGTCGGCCTCGGCGGCTGTCGGCACGAAGGGCTTCTCGACGAGGACGTGCTTGCCGGCACGCAGGGCCTGCGAGGCGAGGTCAAAGTGCGTGTCGGGCGGCGTGAGTATGCCGACGACGTCCACGGCCGGGTCGGCGAGAGCGGGCGCCAGGGAGGTGTGGTGGGTGAGAGAGGGATAGTCGGCTGGTGCGGATGATTCGGCCGTTGGGTTACGCTGAATGATGGTGTGCAAATTCAGAGTCGGGACGAGGTTGATAAAGGGAATGTGGAAGACCTTGGCCGAGAGGCTTGAAACTGTCAGAGGCGGAGGGAGGGGGGGGGGACTGTAGGGATTGAGGAAGGGGGGCTTACCCGTAGCCGATGATAGCAACATTGAACTTCTTTTCGGCGGCCATGGTGTCTTCGTCTGATGGATGATTCGCGTTGCTCTACAGGCTTTGGTTGTTGACCTGACCAGGCAATGCCATCAAGAAGAAGGAAGACGATGGTTTATGAGCTGTTGCTCGGGCTGCCCCTCCTCCCACTTGACCCCCACTGGCGGGGTGAGGTGATGAGGGGACGCTAAGGCGGTAGCGACAGGGGGGGCTACGTGAGCTACAGGGCAGAGCTAAGCTGTTTGTCCCCTAACTCTGGCAAATGGCGTCACTGGCCACTGGTCCGAGACCTGACCCGCGACTTGGCCCGAGACTCCGCGGAGCAGCTTGGGGCCCCCAACTCCACCAGCTTCGTTGAATACGTCGTTAAAATCTCATCGCACCGAGGAGCCTCCGGATCTAGGCCAGGCGCTGATAAATACAATGGACAGATTGTCCTCTTTGTGAGCCCAAGTGAGAACACTCCGTTGCCAATTGAGTCACACACCGGCGGCTGGCCACGTAGGCAGTGGAATGACGTTCTTACTGTTTCGTATTCATCATGGCTCTTCTTCTGTCTGAACGCCATCCAGCCGAGCTCCCACTCAGCCAGGCAAACCTTCGTATCTAGGAAACACAAGCACCTTCGCTCCTCGTCTAAGCGTTTCGAGCTGTTGCGCCCGGCCATCTACCCATAGAATTCTCCGTCCGTCCTTCTGCAAACTCGGCAGCACCCTCACGCCCCCGTAAATCGCACCCACTGCAGCACAAAGATGCGACACAGCAGACTAAACGCCGCGAACACGACAAAAATCTGCGAAAAGTCCCACCAGTTCTTCGTCCGGATCTCCGACTCAATGTAGTCCTGCTTGTGGCCCACGAGCGGCGGGAAGCGCCCCGTCGACAGGTACTGCTCCATGAGCGCGTCCTTCTCATACCACCTCGCGCGCAGCCACAGCTCGAACGCCTCGGCATCCTCGAGCGGGATCTCCGACACCTTGAAGCGGCGCCAGTGGAAGTTGACCGACTTGGGCGGCCGGCCCTGGAAGTAGGTGCTCGAGAGCGTGAAGTAGTCCTGGCCGAACTTGCCGCGCCTGGTCTCGTCAGCCGCCGGTCCAGTCGTGATGGGGTGTGAAGAAGTCAAGATACTTACGGGATGCCCTCGTACGCCACGGTGCAGTCATAGACGTAGTCGACCGTGTCCCCGAGCTCCTTGAGGCAGAAGTACATGCCCGTGCTCCGCGGCAGCAGCACGTGCTCGCCATCCTTGAGCCCTGTCTTCTTCGCCCAGGCCGCCGACTTGGTGCGCCCGTTCAACGCGAGATTCGTGCCCTCGGGGAAGAGCAGCAGCCACATGGGGCTCAGGAAGCTGGTGCCGTCGGGGGCGCGCTGCCTCTTCTTGAGCTGGCCGAGACGGTGGGCGAGGCGCGGCTGGTCGGTGGCCATCTTGCGCGACATGAAGATGAAGCCGTAGAACATCATGCCCCAGCCGATAAACGGGATCCACTTGAGCGACTCCTTGAGGATGATGTAGATGTGGCCGTGCATGCGCGGCGTGTTGGCGTAGCCGATCCACCAGAGGTAGAGCCAGTCGGTATAGATCTGGTGGTTGGCCACGAGCACGAGGCGCTCGGGGAAGTCGAACTCGACCATGCCGTCGGGCTGCTGGCGCATCTGGTGGGCGACCGAGGCGTCGCCGCTGATGCGGATCTTGGTGGGGCCCCACCACTGCGTCATGGTCGTCGTGAGGAGCGCAAACGACTGCTTCGTCAGGGCCATGTAGGCGTAGTAAAGGTCGCGTCGGATGTAGTACAGAGGCGCGCCGAGGAACTGGGTTGTGCCGATGCTGGGGAGGTGCGGCGTTAGCGGACGGAACGGAGAAAGCAGGATGGCAGAATGGGAGGAGGAGGAGGAGGAGGAGGAGGAGGAGGAGACGTACGCAACACAGCAGGCACAAAAAGTAGGTCGCCCATGTGAAGCCTCTGACGATTTGCATGAATGTCCCGTGCTTGGCCCTTCCTGCCGGATGTGCAATTTCTGGTGTCTTCATATTTGAACTGGCGTCGGGCTTCAACGCGGGGAAGACTGTCGTCTTGGCGCGGGATCGGGAGTTCGGTAGCCATGAGGCGGGTTTGTTGTCGTCACACAGCTGATGTAGACTGCA